GCGTGTGTTATGCGCCGTGATGTGTTTCGTGTCTGTTGTGCACATCAGTCTGTAAGCTCCCTCTGGGCCTGCATCTGTTTTTCTCATCCTTGTATTTATCCCAGCACTTTATACAAAGCCTAGCACTCATTGAATTAAAAATAATCTGAGGAGGGAAAAACTTGTCAGTATAGCCCCCCAACCCCCCCCACACACCTTTTGCTATTGGATTTGACAAAGCACTTTGTTGACATGCATAAATCCAACTCTTTCCTAGACAGTAAGTTATTTGGATTAATAACAGGCATATCTCTCGGTTAACCCATAAAGATAGCCAAGAAGATTCTCTGTAGAGGACATATCGTTTTCCAGAGTTTTTGTCCAGACTCGTAATAGAAATAGATGTCCAGAAATCAGGTTAGTTTGTTAAATATCCAAGAGGACAAACTTTAGGCCTATTGTTGATATCAGCGTCACACTAAGAATGGTTGGTTAATAATTAAGAAATTCATAGGATAGTACAGCTTGAAAGAATCTCATTGTAAAGTTCTTTCCACGTTAAAATTAATCGTTTTACAGCAATCATTAGGCCTTTATCAAGACTTCAATTGATCAAGTTTTTATAGTTCCCTTGGGCTGAATTCCATACTATTCACAGTTAAAAGTCCTACTTCATGTATACTAACACCTGTGTGTGTAGCGTCTCTCTGTTACTTTCTGTAATTAATGAATAACGCTTCTGATTGAGTCTAAAAATAATAAAAGACTCTGCCTGTGTGATTATGAAAAGATGAATGACTACCTAAATTGTTTTTTTGGAGCAGGAGGGCCAGATCTGCTGTTAATTTCAGCTGGGGTTTTGCCAAGGGGCAGGTTGATAATCAAATCTTGACTAACCAGAATGTATGATTAAGGAGATTTTCCCCCCTGCATTTAGTTGTCAGCAGAGAGAGAGAGAGAGAGATTAAAACAACAACAACCAAACAAGCCCTGGAATTCGTTCCAGGATGTGCTGCTCCTGGGTAACTGCAGGAATTCCCCCACACTGTCTGCACCTGTAAGTTCTCACCATCCTCAGAAGGATGACAGTGAACCTGGAAAGATCAGGATACTCTCGTAAGCAAGAGATGGTAACAGTTAAGAAGAGCACTTCTCGGGTTAATATTCAGTGAACGGGCAATGTAACTTCCCCACTGTCTCTTTATGTAGTTTGGAAGGTTTGCCTTTAGAGCCAAAAATGTAAGCCCTGATGGGAGTTCATATGAAAATGAAAGACAATGGCAGCCGATGAGGAGTGGGTGTATGTGTGTCTATATGGATCGGGGTATGCCTCCATCCATGTAGGTAACAACAGGGATGTCTGAGGCTAAGAGAGGGGGATAATATGTAACCTCAGTTTTTACCTCCATCTCTATACAGAGTCACTCTTCTCCTGTAGGATTCCAGCCCTAGCTCTGTACAGATGATGGGAGCATAAAAGAGTGTTAGCTAAGCTTCTCCACCCCCAAAGAATCATTGTTTCACTGTGAGAACTCAGGGGAGAACTTGGATTTATTTATATAATTTTCAGGAGAAGAGAAAGCTGAGGTTCCTGATAATTTCAGCAAGCCCTGATAACATTTAAGAAGGGACCCAACCATTTAATATTATTTGGAAGACTGTCTGGAGAGACGGCGCCTCAATCTTCTTGTACGGTCTTGCATTTTGAAATCCCCTGGAATCTAGAGTTCATGAGTATCGGTAGAGAAGCGATTTCTGCTAATGTCCCTGCCTGTTTTCCACGTCTCAGATAGTGATCATTTAGACCAGAGGGTGTTGGGTGGTAGAGCACTGCTTTTTTAAAAAGCATTTCAGAACAAACATCTCCAAATGCTCCAGGTGACCTTCTGAGTCAGGGTTGGAACTGATTAAACCCCAGGCAGAGAGATGCCATCACATCTGTGCCGAGCATCTAGTGGTGGGCTGACATGCCTATGGATGGGCCGACGTCGTCTTTGAGAGTGGAGGCAAAAACAGAAGTGTCGCTCAGTCAGCAGCACTTGACATTCCTTGATGGTGCCTCGTTTACCTAGGCGTTTTAGCACTGATGTTCAATTCTGCATTTATTTCGACTTGGATAAGGCGAGTAATCTTGAAGAGTTAAAAATGTCTTAAAGGGAATTACTTTCATTACCAAAATATGTGCTGTCAGATGTCTTGAATCACACAAAGTGACCCAAGTGTACTGGAGTTCTCAAAAGCCTGGAGTCCCTGTTCGCACATATGAGTGTTGCACTGCTTTGATTCAAATCAGAGCTGAACCACAACAACGGCCTCCCCCTCCAGGCTTGGCCACATCCTTTGCTTTTTTTTTTTTTTTTTTTTTAACCCAAATATGAAGACCTACTAATTTGTCTTTTAGAAACTTTAAGACCTTGGCTTAGAGGATCATGCAGGCACCAGGTGATTAGACTATAGAATGACTTTCTTTAGCAAGGGAAGAAAGATCATCTGCAGCGGGACCTGCCTGTTATTTTGTACTGGTTAATACAATTATGTTGAACAGTTATTGGACAAGTAGTACGGAGAGTAAAAAGTTGTATGTCTTTTCGAACAGGGCTGAGCCAGGTTAGTAGATGGTAGACTCAATGGAAATTCGGGGCCACAAGGACAGTTTGGGCCATGTATCCGACATTTGATGCTTATGCCACCAACAGCAATTCTCTTGTGCCTTTGGTGCCTCTTGAAGGAAATGTGTGTATACAGCACCATCATCCTGACCCAAATGAATGAACCATCAATCTTCCACTTGATGACAGTTTTGTCATTTTAGTCATTTATTCAGTGCATTTTGGGGGTTAATAAAAAATAGGTTTTAAGTGTAAGGCATTAGGAGATTAATTTTGAAATTACTGTCTACTTTTGCAGCAGTTTTCTTAGAAATAACTGCACTCAAGACATTTTAAATGTGTTCCACTTAATGGAGCTTGCCTATAGGTTAGGCTTGATTTTAAATAGACATTCGGTGAAAAATGAGATGCCTTTTGCTTGCCATTTTACCTTCACGCCCTTATATTTTTGCTTCCTGTTAAAAAGGACTTTATTAGAAGACCTTGTTTACATTTAGAAGAAACTCGGCATTCGGCACTATAATCATCACATGTAGCTAGACTTGATATCCATGTACAAAAATATAAGAGAAACATATGCATGTGGAGAGAGTAAAGCTATAAAAGGGGTAGTTACTACCTTCATGACTTCAGATGCAGCTAAGATCCCTCACAGATGTCCACCACATGAGCAGGTGATGATATTTTGAAGACTGCAGAGTCACTGTTTTTTATAGACCCCTTCCAAAGTGAATATATTATCATACCAGATTTATGTATACATGTTTATACCTAGAATTTGCATTTCCTAAACCTTAAACAAGAGTTTTGCTGAGAAGAGCACCAAAGAAAAGCAGTGAAGCTAGAGTGACCAGAGTCTAGAAACTTGCAAGAGTCCAGTTCCTTGTTAGGTAACCACCCCTGTAAGGTAGCTCTTTGTACTTCTGAAAAAGCTCTAAAGAAGATGTTACTGATGCCCGAAACTCATAACTATTTTTGCAAGAATACTCTGTATAGTAGAACCCAAAGATGAGCTAATGTTGATATTATCCAGCTAAATCTCGACGTTACCAGGAACCAACATATTTTGGCACCTGTTAAATTTCAGAAAAAGGTTTATAATACTATTAGCCGTCTGTAAATTAGCAGTTCAAAGATGCTATATTATAAAGTTTTAACACTGATCATATACATCAAAACAATGTCAAGATCAGCTAACTAGCATCATTTTGTGTATCTGTATGCTATTTTAAAAAGACATATAAAGTGGATTTACTCCAGAAAGAGGGAAAGATGACTTCCCCAGGAATGCTCATGTTGGGGACAGTTTTCTTTAGTGACTTAACCATTCAGAAATGATGGAAGAAATGGTACTTTATTATTTTAAGTTTGATAGATGACAAGAGAGTTCCCAGTTTCTCTGGGAAGATATGGCTTCTCTCCCTCTTTTAAGCCACTGCCAGGGCTTTCTGAGAAGGAAAGCTAGAAGGAGAGGGTCAGGATTCCTGTTGCTCTGTTCCATCCCTGAGGTTAGCAGCCTGATGTGTCATGTGATGAGAGACAGGTTCTGATGGCAGTGAATGAACTAGAGACCCGCTGAGTGGACCTGTGGAGAGGCTGTGGGACCTGGGGTGGCAGAAACAGTGCTCATACTGGTGGGAGTTTTGGGGCGGGGGGTCGGGGGGCAGGAGATACGGGCCATGAGGGGAGGAAAGGCTCTGTACCTTTCCCCAGGGTGGAACTGGGGAGGTAGCATTGCTGTGCAGATGTTGGAGGTGGGCCAGGGGAAGGGGGAGGTGCACAGATGGTTACCTTTCTGTCAGGAAATGCCCAACCCTGCAGCACGACTGGGATGCGAGCACAGCTGTGCAGATTTCCGGGTCCCCAGGGTCCCTTGGGGATCCTTCGGAGAGGAAGGGATCCTGTCCCAGCCCACACCTGACCCCCCCAGGACGCTTTCCTCCCTGACCCTGGTGTCGGCCCAGCGTGTGTGCACATGTGTGAGAGAGGCAGGGCAGGCGTGACCGTGGCTGTCATTTACATGGACGGCCTTTAAGGATCAGCCTGAGGAAGGAGAGCGCCATTGTGAAGCAATGCTGGTTGCCATTGATGGAAGAAAAGCAGTGTCCAGATTTTTAATTAGAAGAGCTAAGACCAGAAGTTTCTTAAACATGCTTTATCTTGCCCTTTTTTTTTTTTTTTCTAATGTTTCCACTGGGTGGTGCTGCAGGAATTCCTACCTTTTGCCTTGGAGCTACCCTTCCCAGAAAGACGCCTCTAAAGCATAATAGGAGGAAGTCCTGATTTAGAAAGATTTTACAGTTTCAACACAATAGAAGAGTTTGGAGGATGCTCTGGCAGGAAATGTTTTAGTTTCTGGATGTGGAAAAACCACCATCATTTTGTATCATGCAAAAGCCTTCTTACTAATACTGGGTAGATGCTTTTGGCTTTCACCAACTTATTATTTAGCACAGAACAGCTTTCAAGTTTATCTGAAAGATGGCGGTTTCATTCTAGTGGAAGTGGTATGTAAGATTTCCTTTAGTTTCAAATTTCCTAAAACTATTTTAACATGGTACCGAAGCAAATAAACATTTTCTGATGTTAAGACAACGCAGATTTTAAAAATATCTCTGTTGAGGCTTTATTGAAGCTGAAGGCAATATTCCCTTCTGATTTTAGAGATCATTTGCGCAATGTATTGATCTAAAAGATAACTTAGATGTTTTACTTTCAAAATACTTTTAATCGTAAAAATTCTTTTAGTTTGATAACACTCGTGTGTGGTGGGGGGGTAGGGTGAGCCATAGCCTTGTTTTACAGATAAAGAAGTTGAAACGTAGAGAAGCTTACATCCCTGCCTGAGATCATCCAACTCTTCAAGGCTGGGGCTGTGATGAGAATTTACATGTTTGACCATTTTCCTCTGTGTACAGGATCAAATTTTATTAATATTAAAGTACAAAAATTTCGGTAATGGATTTTCCATTCAAAGGCCTATGAAGTAAAAGAATCAAGGGTAGTATGGGGGGAATGTATCCTCTGGAAATAGGGGAGCTCTTTCCATTGAAGCACAAAGGACAGTTAGCAAGATTTTAAGTGAGTTTTACTGAATGCAAAGCAGCATGGTTTTTTGTTTTTTTGTGTGTGTGTTTTTCATTTGCAAGTCATGATCCTCCGTGAAATCCCAAATGCTGCTTTTTGAGAACCTGAAACAGGGCTTCCTCAGAGGTGTTTGTTTTCAAAGGAAAAATTTTGAGCCCCTGCTAGGTGCTAGGGGCCACACTAGGTACCATCATGTGCAATCAGTGGGGTTCCCAGTCTGTCCCTGTTCACACATGAAGTCTTTCTCGTGATTCATTTCATTGTTATGTGAAATGTGCACAGGTGTTGGGCCCCTCTCTGGGGCCAGACTAGATCACTTCTGTCTCACTTCTGACTTTCATCCTTTCGTTTCGCCATCCTGTGTGCAAACACTGAGCTGGGGGGATGCATCTGTCGTGCCGAGGGGGACAGAAGTTACCAAAGGTACAGCTCCTGTCCATACATCTCGTCTTCATAATCGAGAGCCAGCCTCGATTATTTAATGTTAGGTGCACCCGGAGCATAGCTAAACCAATATACAGATCGTTTAAAAAGGGAAATTGGTTTAAAAACAAAATGATGGTGGGACGGGTTCAAAGTTCCTTGCTTAAAACAGAACCTATTGGAACCGCTGGAGTCACAGATGAGGCAAAGCCAGACATAAACAAGGACATTTCCTGATGGGATTCCTAGTGCGAATGTTGTATCACCCTCTGGGTTAAAATGAGACTTTCCTCTTAGCAGCAGCGAGGTGTGCATATGAGAGAGGAGGCCTGCGCTAAAGGGACTAGGTGTGGTGATGAAGAACCTGGGTAGGAGTCTCTGCTCATATCACTCTTGTGGCCAAAAGCATCTTAGTTCACCTTAAGTCACGACTTCCTCATGAAGTATTAAATTTAGACAACACATATAAAGCACTCAGCACAATGCCTGGTATATAATAAATGAGCATTAAATGTTAGCAATAAAAAAAAGAAAAGCTCCTATGTAAAGCAGTAACGGATTTTTTGGGGGGAGGGGTATGAGCCCTATTCTTGAGGATTCCATGGACTCACAGTATTGCTGGGTGGGGGGGGGCAGTGTAGCTAGCATTTCCTTTAGAATGAGGCTCTTTATTTGAGATTTATACATTACCTTTAGGGTTCTATAAACCCTGCTGAAATGAAGTATGTTTTATATGAGTACATCTTTTTTTTCCCCTAGAAAATTTTAGATTCTCAAAAGAATCTGTGGCCCAAACACAGGTAGAAGATACTGCCCTGGGGATGTGATTATGTGTATATACATGTGCATATGTGTCTGTTCTCTGTGTGACTATATGCTTTAGGCTGTCTGTATGAGACTGCTGGTATTTGACTGTTTTTGACCCATAAAACCAACAATTTCATATAGTGATGTGTATAAGAAACAATTTGAGACAGTATCAGAATGAGAGAGATTATAAGGAGGTATGATTATAGCATATTTTCTTATGTTGTTTTTCAAAGCCTCGTTAAGTTAAAAGTCGTCCGGTAGTCTTGGACCACTAGTAATCATATTTATCTAAAATAACTTCTTCTGTGTACAGTATTATGAAATAGTCTTGCATTTTCCCTGGGGACTTATGGGTCGCCTTATCACATCGATCAAATCATTTTTTTTTTTTTTAGTTCCATACTCTTTTGATTCAAATGACTACTGTTAGGAGAATTTGCTTGGTATTTTGGTTAACATTAAAGTACTTAGAAGTTTTTAAAAAGTGCTTAGAATTGTTTAGTATTTTCCCCCCTGTTTAATTCAAAGGCCTAATTACTCTGGGGAGGAAAAAAAGCCTCCATGAGATTTCTTGGGCAATAAGAATAACAGTGTTCTTTGAGAAAGCAGGGTTTGGCTGTCGTGTTGAGGGTTAAAACAGAACTGACACACAAGGCAAAATGAAACCAGAGCTGCAATTACAAAGTGGGACAGATGTAGGAGGCCAGGTTTCCTGTGGCCCATTTTCCAGTTTCCTGCCTGCAACCTGCAGAAGAGGAAGCCGAATGTTCAGTATGAGAACCAAGTATGAGAATTGAAGGGCGACGTGCTTCAGGCCAGAATCCCAACGCACACACCAACAACACAGTCAACAAAAACAATTGCAAAGAAAGTGAATGTTTGGGTTTTAGTCCAGAAATGTCTGGGAAGGAGTAACACATCTGTTGAAAGAAAAAGCATGGTCAGCAGAGCCTGTTCTTATATGTGAGACTCTATTGGGGGGCTGGGGGGGGGGGCTGGGCGCTGTCCCAGATTGTAGGAACCTCTGATGTTTACAGCCCTAATCATCTTTCAACACATGGTCTGCTTTTTAATACATACAATTGGTTACCTGGGAAGATTTTCCCTGCAGTGCTCAGGACTTCTAAATCTGTTTCCTGGGCATGTTGATATACGAGGGAGGTGGATGTGGTTAACCGAGTGGCTATAATGAACTACAGCCTCCCTTTGGGAAGGCTGGGTGACCAGTTGGCTGCTTTGATCTAGCAAACTTGTGTTCCTTTAACTGCCCAATAAAATTGTATCTGATGCTTTCAGAGAAGAGATTAAATGGAAATGTGTATGTTGAAGACTATAGATCGCACACTCTGTGTGCTTGTGTGGCTCCCCGATGTGGGGAAATGCAGGGTTCAGGCAGTCAGAAGACACTGGAGAAGTAGCCTACCCTTCTCCTGGGGGGGGGGGAGAGAAAAAGGAAATTATTCTGTGCCTAGGCTCTTTGATACATTATAGAAGAGTCTGCAGACAGACATTACAATCCCCATCTCAGTAGTACAGAAATTAAGATCAAGGGTAAATGACAAACGTGAGGAAATTGAGATTCACTGTACATTCATGGAATGCCCGTTGCTCACCAGGTGCTGCGTTGGAATTGCTGGTTGATGCTAATGAAATGGTGGCTGACAATAACAAATAACTCCCTTTGTGGAAGCCATGTTGAAGGCTTCACAGAAGGCGTCAGTGAAAGCAACACATAGCTTTGCTGAAGGCTTATCCTGTACAGGGCACTGTGCTGTGCTTTTCCCATTCACCATCTTCGTCAAATTGACTTGCTTCTTTGAGGTACAGAGTAATAGGTGTATGCTTCTGGGACAACCAGTTATTTATTTAACATGTGGCTTGATCACCACTTCTCCTTCTGCTAGCTCAGGAAGAACAAACACTGTACCAGGAATGTTAGGAAGCTTTGGGATGTTGCCAAATGAGGGATCAAAGAGGCACCATGTGAGGCAGCCTATAGTAAGAAGAGGTGCTTTCGCATCTCATCTCCATGTGGGTAAGAGAGGGCTGGGTTGTGCAGTGGTGTGGTTGGATAGGAAATGGCACGACTAGACGCCACGTAGGAGGAAGTAGAATGGTTCAAACACACTTTCCCAGCCGGAGTTAATATAGCCATCCATTTACTTTTCCAAAGGAAATTCTCATGTAAAAGTCACCGACGAACCAACAGAGTTGTTTCTAATTCATCCAGAGATAACACAGTTTCAGAAAGAAAGAGGTGTGGGTCAAACACACAGTAAATGGGTATGTTGTTATTACAGCGGCTTCAGTGATTTCCCCTGAAAAATCTTTGTCTTTCCTCAGATGGGAGAGTTATTTGAAAAACAGTATTTGCAAAACATTGCAAACTATAAAGGGTAAATAAATAGGCTGAGCAGTGGCCACTTTCCCTCTTTTCTGTTCACTTTGCTCTTCAACAAATGGGCGATCTGTAGATAGTCACAGAATGAATGAGAATACAAACATTTGTAAACAGATTAAAAGAGCTTTGAGGGACATGAACTTGACCTCACAGATAAGCATTTTTTAATGCAGTGGTTGACCATAATTAAAATGTCTTTTGAAAATAAATTTTAGGAATCTTATGTCCACCTCACAAAAATAATCAAGATTTCAAGTACAGGCTGCATAATTACCAAATGTTAGCCTCATTTACTTAATGCCTTGAAATTATTCTGTGCTGAGGAGTTATTGTAGACCTCATATAATACAAATTGTTGTTTTCCAATTTCTTGACTTAAGAACAGGGTTTGTTTTATATAATGAAATGTTTTCTGCCTTTTCTCTTGGATACTGATCGTATAATGAGTGGTACAGAGGAGTTGAACTTAAGAGCATTATGAAGTGTTCAGATCCATCCTCATTTCTCTAACCATGCAAGTTTTAACAACAACAAAAAAAAGACAGGTACTTACAGGAGCACCTACTTTATTTCTTACGCAGGAGTTTTTCTCCTTTCCTTGGCCTCTCTCATTTCTGACTTTTTTTTAAGATGGCTAATTTCTTTAGTTCATAGAAGCTTTAGAAAATCAAAGATTATAATTCTACCCCCTCAGCTCCCACCTCAGTGTAACTTTAAAAATGAATTCAGGAACATGCAAAGACAAGTGTTAGGTTGCCATCAATAGAAAGAAGAATAAGTGAGTAT